TACACATAAGGGTGCTTTCAAAACAATGAAGATTTGGGAAGAAAGCAAGTAAGAGGGGGCTAGTCGTTCTAAGAGAACAGGCGGAGCTATAGAATGCACATTTATTAGGGAGAATCAGGTAAAAAGACACCTAAGAACTGATCTCCTGGGTTCATAACACACCTCAAAAACTCATATCAGTCCTCAAAAACCAACCCTATAAAGGAAACCAAATGACCATGGAGCAATTTGTGTCCAAGGCATTGTCAAAAACAAACAGTAGTGTACTGTCAATTAGCAGAGGCCAACAGCAGGATATGATACCAACCAAGGCAGACACCTTTACTTAGAGAGAGCTAGGGGAAAGATAGGGTCCAAGAGAATCTTGCTAAAACTGCCATCATCCCAGGGTGACTGCACACGCCCAGTGCTGCCCTCTGAGTGTTATTACAACAGAGACTTTAGACTGTGGGGGAAATATTCTTCACTTAGACTTCCATTTAAATCATTAAACAAATAAACAAGCAAACAATAACAACAACAAAAACCTGAAGATGGATGGATCAGTATTCATCGTTGCTACGCAGATTACCTGAAACATCCAGTTTCAGCAAAAAATTATGAGATATGCAAAGAAACACGAAGGTGCGACCCACTCATAGGAAAGACAACAGGCAAGATAAACTGCCCATGAACTGACCCAGATGGCATATTTAACAAAGATTTCAAAGCAGCCATTACAAATATGTTCATAAAAATAAAAAACCATGCTTAAAAAAGTAAAGAAATGTATGATGACAACATCCCATCAAATAGATCAATAAAGAGATAGAGATTAAACAAAGGAAACAAAAATTCTTATTTTTTTCTCATATAGAGATATAATGTACATATTATTGACATTACCATATAAATACGTATATAGTATATGTGTATATATACTTACACACCTCATAGTATTGTGAAAATTAATCAAGATAATTTGTATAAGACACATATACTTTACCATTTTAATCAACATGAATTAGCTATCAATATTACTGTCTTTCCATTTCCAAAATAGATAATTGGGTAAGAAATTTTATCTGTGACTTTGTGACAGACTCAAGCTGTTTCCCATGGAAAAGCATCAATGTGACATCAACTACAAACATAATAACAGAAATAATAATATTACAATAATTAACACATTTGATGTTTGATGTCTACGTTGCCAAGGACTACGCTAAGTGTTTTACGTGAATTATTGTCTTGATCTGCACAAACTTTCTATTAAGCAGTTAGTTTTTATATTTTTTTGAAATTCTAGGTTATAAGAAAGGAAATATACCCTAAATTAACTAAAAAGTAAACATATACATACATATTTCACACTGTGTGGTCCTCAAATAAGTTAAACATTTCTCTAAAATGAATCCTTCTGTATTCTACAACACAGATTCAAGTACCTAAATGATACATTTTTCATAAAGAAAGCTCATCATACATTCACTCACTGAGAAAAACAATGAACTTTGGAGGAATTACTAAATGACTTAGCTGTAAAGGGATAAGATTTATTGCCCTACAAAAGCTAATTCCTTGCTGGGAATTTACTCAGTCTGACTGCCTCTCCCTGGAAGAAAAATAAGACCACAGTGACTGCCATTGTCCTCTAATGCCAGTCAATGTCATCTGAAACCTTCTCATTACTGTATAAAAGCAGATTCCACGGACTTTTGCATCAACCGTTATACGGGAGCACTTTAGAGAAGAAACCAAGAAGGCAAGAGGTGTGGCTGTAGAATCACATTTTGTCCCAGGCTGAATCATTCTGACTATAGAGGTCACCCATCTCCTGAACCACACACAAACATTAATACGTTGTGGAATATCATCAGGTAAGCTATTTGCTTTAAGTGGATTCCACTGTCTTTAAAAGCCTCCCAGCTAGATGAAACAGAATTCTAGATTGTATTTAAATTGTCACATTGCCATCTTGTGGCTGCAATGGGTAAAAGAGGAAACTGATCATTACTGTGGGGCCCTGAGGCCTTGCCCCTCTGCATGATGCTATCACAACTGCCTGAGTTCTGTGAGGATAAAAGTGCTCTTACTCTCACGAGGACCTGATACAGGATTGAAGAATTTATGTATTATATAGGGAGTGTGATTGCTGTGCAGGCAAAAGCATCTAATAAGTATAAAATAAGTGAAAACTAAGTTGAAATCTGAAAAGGTCTTGGTACAAAGCATTACACTGTACTCCAGAGATGGACCCATGAGGTCAAAATTTGTTCAGCAGCCTCTACTATTTTCTTTAACTCTGACATTTACAGAATGAATGCTTCCAGTGGCATAACAGATTTCCAGACACCTGATTCAGGCAGTTCCAGGTCCAGTTTAAAGCAGAGGCCCCTCTAGTGCAAATTCCCTGATTCTGAGAGCTCCACTAAGACCTGCCTCAAGACAAATATAATTCCCGTGCCCACTTTGTTGCCTTAAATTCCCAACCCATTTTACTTCAAGTTATTATTTTCAAATAATCTTCATCTGAAACATAAATGGCATGTTCTGGTGTGGCTACGTATAAACATCTCATTACATTTGCCTGTGGAATAATTAATTCATCAATATTTGTAAACTTCCGTATTGAGATCTAATAAGAAAAGTATGAATTTTGGAAAGTAGAAATGGGTTTTTTTTCAATAATACTCCAAGGCAGGACAATTTTCAAAAAAATAGATGATATAGCTGGGTGACAAAGGAAGAAGCTCCTGCTAAGTCGACTGGAGAGGTGGAGCAGGGGTTAGGTAGTTACTCAGGAAGCCTGGAAGGAGGAAAGGAGGAAATAAGGCAGCCCAGGGAATTTAAAGAAAAATTACAAAATCTGGAACATTGCATCCTAGTGTCTCAGTTTGAGACTACTTTGCAATCTAAGACCCGTAACTGTCTCCCTAGGCACTCTAAGGAGAGAATGCAAGGGATAGAAAGCAAGTGGAAGTTCCCAAGAAGCTGCCACTGTGAAGAGAATGAGCAACTACTGGATGAAAAGGCTCAAAGATCTCCAGCTTATTTGGTAGAGCGTCTCTGGAAGTGAACTCTCCAAAAACACAGCTAAACCACTATGCACACATTATATTTATTTCCAAAACCCTATTCATCATGGAAGATTTTTACTGAGTAATAACCTCAAAGTAAAAACTAATTATTGGCACTCTTCAACTGACCTCAGCTATCATCAAATGGTGGGAAACAGTTACATGGTTTATTAGGTTTAAAGTGCCATTTTCCGTTTACCTTGAATCCCCAAATTTCTTTTAATTTTAAAAATGTTGTGTTGTCTTACTTGGTCTCCCATTGACTCTGGATTTGTAAATTTTTGTAAATAACAGACATATGTATCTCCAACTCATTAAATTATTTCTACTCTTTGTATTTAGTGTCTACTCTTAAGAGGTTTGTATCAAAACCATACTTAGTGGAACATCAGTGTGCTTATATTTGTGAATGCTCACTTTAGAAGTTTGATCTTGGCCAGGTGCAGAGGCTCACACCTATAATACCAGCATTTTGGGAGGCCCAGGCAGGCAGATTACTTGAAGTCAGGAGTTCGAGACCAGCCTGGCCAACACAGTGAAACCCCATATCTACTAAAAATACAAAAATTAGCTGGGCATGGTGGCTGATGCCTGTAATCACAGCTACTTAGGAGGCTGAGGCAGGACAGTCACTTGAACCCAGGAGGCAAAGGTTGCAGTGAGCCAAGAAGATAGCACCACTGTACTCCAGTGTGGATGACAGAGCGAGACTCTGACTCAAAATAAATAAATAAATAAAGAAGAAGAAGAAGTTAGAAGTTAGAGCTGTCACTCCACCCCACATATCTACCTACAGTTTGATCACTATGGTAATTGCCTGCCAGTGGTCAACAGGTCACTAGAAGTATTTAGAAATAAAATTTAAAAATTGACCTGCTCTTGAAGTAGAAGAAAACAATGAAATCATTTTAATAGAAATAGAGATTCTACTCATCTCAAATATCAATCCTCTGAAGAACCATTAGTTTTAGGAAATTCTTATAAAGCTAAAGAATATTACAAGAATTTCTGGCTTAAGAAAATTAAAAATAAACTTTTAACATTTGGGAAAGTTGAAACACTTCAGTCTTAACTGACATCTTTATTTAGGTGCAGTCGTTTGTCAAAGAAACAAGCTCTGGAGAGTGAGACCACTGGGTCTTGGAATATTTATATTACTAAATTTACAAAATCTTGAGTTCAACTTAAGATTTCTGAATATGTCTACCAGTGTGTGTCAGAGGCCCCATCTTGACCCCACCTTGTGTTGTTTGCTGAGAACCAAAGTTGACCACACATGTCTGACATCTGCAGAAGAAAATGAACAAGCAGATACTTTTGTAGCTTCAGCTGATCTTTATGAGAAGTAGATGCACAGAGTCTTAGCCTATTCCAGACTGGAATCTGAGCCAAGTGGTGAATGTGGCTGAGGGCAAATAAAATTTATGGCATATTAGCCTTGGTGCTAGTCTTTGCAGATAATCAACATTCTCTCCAGTTCTACTAAATACTCGGCATTGGACTGTAGCACTCACCACTCTGAATCTCAGTTTTTCAAGTGTCAGAATCTGGGTTCTGACACTGATCCTGCCGTTGTTGCAGTGGGCATTAGCAGTACTGACAGACACATACCCAAAGTTTTATAGCCAACAGCTGCAGAGAGGGTCGGAGATGCAGAGAAAGAATATGGCAGATGTCCACAAGGTAACCAAAGAGAGAAAAGCATTTTGCATCTTCTTTCTGCCCTTTCTTTATCTTCCTGTGGATTGGCAGTGAGCAGCATAATCAAGAGCAAGCCTTCTAACATACAGCATCAGCCTTTAGCCAAGCCCAAGTCTAATAAGGTCATTTTCCTGGCCTGATATTTTACCTTTTTACAGAACCATAAACTCTCCCCTCCCAATGCCTCAAAAATGAGTGCAGCAGTGTGACTGCAGGTTACTCACCTGGAGCCTTTACCAAGAGTCAGTACTGCAGAGCAAAACCAGCCGTGGTGTTCTAATCCTCCTCCTGCATCAGTATGATTGCAAACGTCATTCATTCTTCAGGAATTTTAGCATTGGTGATATGTATTAATTTGAAAGCATGCAGCTTAATTTTGTGATAATCAGTTGAGTTCACAGCACAGGCTCTGAAAAATTATGCATTTAGTCTGACAGTGCAATTGATACAGAAATTATAATTGGTTAATGAATATAGAACACTTGAATACTATTTTGCAGATTACTTTCATGGGTTTTCTTCAGTTAATTTTATTATAATCACATAGTCTTTTCATTTTTAACTGCCAAAATAGAAAAGATACAGACAGTAAATTCAATAAACCTTAGAACGGAAGCGTATATATCTAGAGTTGCCCTGACAACACTGAGCAAGATGGTGCTGGTGTTCTCACTCCATTTAAGGCCTTGTTGCTGGCTACCTTGTTACCAACACTCTTCAATCCATAAGCTTGAAAATGGCATGTTGTTGAACTGAATTGCTTTTTAACTACCAAATCTGAGACTCTTCAGGATACAAAATCAATGTGCAAAATCAATACCATTCCTATATACAAACAACAGTTAAACTGAGAGCCAAATCAGGAACGTACTCCCATTCACAATTACCACAAAAAGAATAAAATACCTAGCAATACAGCTAACTACGGAAGTGAAAGATCTCTACAGGGAGAACTACAAAACACTGCAAGCAATCAGATGACACAAACAAATGGAAAAACCTTCCATGCTCAAGGATAGGAAGAATTGATAACATTAAAATGACCACACTGCCCAAGCAATTTATAGATTTGATGCTGTTCCCATTAAACTACCATTAGCATTCTTCACAATAGACAAAACTATTTGAAAATTCATATGGAACCAAAAAAGACCTCAAATAGCCAAGGCAATCCTAAGCAAAAAGAACAAAACTGGAGACATCACACTACCCAACTTCAAACTATACTACAAAGCTACAGTAACCAAAACAGCATGATATTAGTACAAAAACAGACACATAGACCAATGGAACATAATAAAGAACCCTGAAATAAGACCGCACACCTACAACTATCTGATCTTCAACAAACCTGACCAAAACAAGCAATGGGGAAACGATTCCCTGTTCAATAAATGGTGCTGGGATAACTAACCATCTGCAGAAGATTAAAACTGTACCTCTTCTTTGCACCATATACAAAAATTAACTCAAGATGGATTAAAGACTTAAATGCAAAACCCAAAACTATGAAAACTCTGGAAGAATACCTAGGTAATACCATTCAGGACATAGGCATGGGCAAAGAGTTCCATGACGAAGATGCCAAAAGCAATTGCAACAAAAGCAAAAATTGACAAATGGGATCTAAACTAAAGAGCTTCTACACTGCAAAAGAAGCTATCGGTAGAGTATGAAAAAATAGTCAACATCACTGATTAGAGAAATGCAAATCAAAACCACGATGAGATACCAGCTCACACCAGTCAGAACTGGATTTTTAAAAAGTCAAAAAATAACAGATGCTGGCAAGATTGTGGAAAAAAAACGAATGCTTATACACTGTTGGTGGGAGTGTATATTAGTTCCATCATTGTGGAAGACAGTGTGGCAATTCCTCAAAGACTCAAAGACAGAAATACCATTCAACCCAGCAATCCCATTACTAAGTATATACCCAAAGTAATATGCATCATTCTATTATAAAGGCACATGTACGCATATGTTCATTGCAGCACTATTAACAATAGCAAAGACATGGAATCAACCTAAATGCCCATCAAAGATAGACTGTATTTTTAAAATGTGGTAGATATACACCATGAAATACTATGCAGCCATAAAAAAGAATGAGATCACATCCTGTGCAGGAACATGGATGGAACTGGAGGCCATTATCCTTAGCAACTAACACAGGAACAGAAAACCAAATATCACATGTTCTCACTAATAAATGGGAGCTAAATGATGAGAACCTATGGACTCACAGAGGGAAACAACACACACTGGGGACTTTAGAGACTGGAGGGTGGAAGGAGGAGGAGGATCAGGAAAAATAACTAAAGAGTATTAGCCTTCATGCCTGGGTGATGAAATAATCTGTACAACAAACCCCCAAGTCACAAATTTACCTGTATAATAAACCTGCACATGTGCCCCTGAACTTGAAATAAAACTTAAAAAGTAAAGAAGTAAAAACAAAAATAAAAATCTGAGATTCCTTAACAATTAATTAAAAAAATTTAGACCACATACTGTCATTGCTATATTAATTATATTGTTTGATTTCAGTTTTCCAATTTAATATTTTCTACTTCCATTTTCCTTTGACACTTAAAAGCATGTGTCCTCAATGTATACACTACAACATGTTTATGCTTGTTTTTTTTCATTATTTTAAAAACAAACATCCTGGATATTTTTACTATTAACCATTCTAAAATATAATTTTTAAATAGCCTTAATAAATATCCTAGAATTCTATTTTAAAACACATAATTAACAAATATCCTTTTTCTGATTCAGAAAAATATGACTTTTAATTTGCTTTTATTGAAGGTTACTATGAAAAATTAAACTTTATAGTCACATATTACAACAGGGAGACATCTTAAAAATTCTATGTTGAATTCAGGGAACTGAATTTGAGACTGCATGATTTGTCTTATTATTGATCTTTATCCTTAGAAAATAATTCCATTGCAATAAAAATAAAACATGAGTATTATTATTGTAAAGAACTCCACCTTGCCTTTTTTATTGTGTTTACCATAGTTCTTGACACATAAGTTCATTTATTTTGTCATAATATTAAACATAGATCCACTGCTTCATGTTGATTCTCCATTTATATTCTATTTCTCTTTCACAACAATGATTGCCATGTTCCTTTTACTGTTCTATTTCTATCTTGATTAGACAGCTGTTGCTAAATTATCTTAAGTCTCATATTCATCATATATGAAGGAAATCAAAAGTGCTTTGAACTCTATTTTAAGCTGTTTATGCCATTTTTAGTCTTATGGTTTAGATGCCTACCTTTTCCAGAAGTACAAATAATCTTCATCTCCCTCAGAATCATTGTTCTAAAAAATATCATTGTAGGACTTCCCCTTCAGCTGTGGAGAATTAAATTGTGTGAGACATACTTTCCCAATGAGAAGAAAACAGAAAATATTGATAAATTATTTTCTAAATCTCTTTGGTACCATTAAGGGCTTACAAAGACAGGTTAAAGTTTTCAGATCCTTGTAGTAAACCAATTTCAAAAACGGCCTCAGGTCCCTACACTTTTTTTCAACCCACTGCCTTTGCAGTGTGACTTTGTGGATCATATGATCAAAAGATAGACTCTCTTCCGATATCTCTTGTATATAGGCTGTATTTGTGACTTGGAAAGTTTTTAAGTTTTCTGATTTCTCTCTTGGTTCCTTCTACTGCTATGTGTACGTGTTCTGTAAATGAGACATACATGTAAGATGACATACTAATAGCTAAAGTGCTCAGGCTTACAGCCAACCAACCTTTAGAAGTGGAACTTTCTCGTTGATTGGTAGCTGATTTAAGACAATTGAGAAAATCTAGTTGAAACAAAAGTTCTCAGCAGAGCCTGCCTAAATTGCAAAACTACACAATCATAGTTCAATAAATGTTTGTTATTGTAAGTTGCTAATTTGTGAAGTGGTTTATTACATAGCATTTGCTGACTGGAATAATCCTGGAAGAAAGAAAAGTATAAAAAGTGAGTTCTAGTGAAACTATCCTTCAAGAATAGAGGATATAAAGACATTCTCAGACAAAGAAAAATTTAAAAAATCTGTCACTAGAAGACCTAACATTAAAGAATGGCTATAAGAAGTTTTACAAACAGCAAGTAAATGATAAAAGAATCTTAGAACACAAAGAGATAAATAGCAATAGAAAAAGCAGAAATATAGGTACATACAATAGCCTTTTCTTCTCCCCACCAGTTTTCCAAACTATATGCAAAAACTGAAACAAAAATGTTTAACACTAACTGATGCTCAAGACAATAGCATGGAGAGTAAAGTTCCTAAATGAAAGTAAGTTTTCCATACTTCACTTGAAATGTTAAAACATTGATGTCAGAGGACTGATGAGTCGCATATGTATATTGTAATACTTAGAGAAATCACTATAAAAACTATTCAAACAGGCCAGGCACGGTGGCTCATGCCCATAATCCCAGCACTTTGGGAGGCTGAGACAGGCGGATCAGCAGAAGTCAGGAGTTCGAGACCAGCCTGGTCAACATGGTGAAACCATATCTCTACTAAAAATACAAAAACTAGCCAGGCGTGGTGGTGGATGCCTGCAGTCCCAGCTATTTGGGAGGCTGAGACAGGAGAATCTCTTGAACCTGGGAGGCAAGTGAGCCAAGATCATGCCATTGCATTCCATCCTGGCAGCCTGGGTGACAGAGTGAGACTCTGTCCCTCAAAAAATAAAAAAAATAAAAAACTATACAAACTATATACTCAAAAAAGTATTAAATAAATTAAGATCTAATCTTTAAAAATGTTCAATTAACCAACAAGAAGTTATAAAAAGAGTAACAAAGAGTGAGAAACAGAGGGAACGAAAAGATATCGTATAATAAAATGACAAACTTAAACCCTAAGATATCAATAATTACCTTAACTAAAATAATCTAAATACACTAATTAAAAGACAGAGATTGGCAGACTGAATTTAAAAATAAAAAGAACACTGACAAATAACATTAAGGGAACATCACAGTAATAAGATGCCTTTATATTATATACCTTTAATATAACATGATAAAAATGACACTACCTTTGTCATATTCCTCCCCAAAATCCACGACCATAGTCTTATCATGAGAAAAACAACAGACAAAAGTCAGCTGAGAGACATTCTTCAAAACTTCTGACCAATAATCCTCCAAACTGTCAATGCCATCAAAAATGAAATTCTGAGACACTGTCAAAATCCAGAGGATCCCGCAGAAACATAGCTACTTGATAGGACCCTGGAACAGAAAAAGGACATTATAGAAAAACTAATGACGTTTGAATAAAAGGTGGATTTAAGTGAATAATTGTGTATCAGTTTTGACAAACATATAATAATACAGTTAACATAAATGCTAATAAGGAAAACTGGGTTCAGGGTATCTAAGAAAACTTATCTTGCAAAAACTTGCATGCAAAAATTCTGTAAATCAAAAACTTCTCTAATTCAAAAATTGTTTTTTAAAGATTAAATAATAAAATTATTATCCTAATCTAGTTGAAATACCTGTCTTATACCCTTCTTTCTTAAAATCCTGAATCTGGTCTCAAAAAAACAATCCTGAATCTGATTATTTTACATCAGCTCTAAACCAAGGAGTGACAATAAAACAATCCAATTTGTGCATTTGGAAAAAAAAAAAAAAACAGAGGAACTACTTAATCCATCAAAATTATCAAAAATAGGCAGGGTGCAGTGGCTCACGCCTGTAATCTCAGCACTTTGGGAGGCCAAGGTGGTTGGATCACTTGAAGTCAGGAGTTCAAGACCAGCCTGGCCAACATGGTAAAACCCCGTCTCTATGAAAAATATAAAAAGTAGCTGGGCATGATGGCATGAACCTGTAATCCCCACTACTCAGGAGGCTGAGGCAGGAGAATCTCTTGAACCTGGGAGGCGAAGGCTGCAGTGAGCCGAGATTGTCACACTGCACTCCAGCCTGGGTTACAGAGCAAGACTCCACATCAAAAACAGAAATAAATCTATTGAAACAAGAGGAACACAATATTACGCATAATAGAGTTGGCAAAGCATACATTTTAGTCCAAAATGGACTGCATATACAAAGGTAATTCCCTAAGATTATAACGGATCTGAAAAATTCCTAGTGCCTAGAGACATCTTGATAATCCTGACCCTGTGTAGGCCTAGGGTAATATGTGACTTTGTGTCTTAGTTTTAACAAAAATGTTTAAAGAGTAAAAAATAAAAAACTCTTTTAAATAGACATAAACTTACATAATAAAGATTATATAAAGAAAATATTTTTGTACAGATGTATAATGTGTTTGTGTTTGAAGCAAGTCTTATTACAAAAGAGTCAAAAAATTTTAAAAATCACTTGAGCTCAGGAGTTCAAGAGCAGTCTAGGCAAAAAAGTGAGATTCTCATCTCTACAAAAAATTATCTGGGTATGGTGGCACACACCTGTAGTCCTAGCCACTCAGGAGACTGAGCTGGGATGATCCCTTGAGCCCAGGAGATCGAGGTTTGTAGTGATCTGTGATTATACCACTGTACTCCAACTTGGACAACAGAGCCAGATGCTGTCTCAAAATAAATAAATAAATAAATATGTAAGTTGAAAAAATAAAAAAGTTTGTAAAGTAAAAATGTTATAGTAAGCTAAGGTTAATTTATTATTGAACAAAGAAAAATTAATTTATAAATGTACTGTACACTAAATGTACAGCATTTCTAAATTCTATAGCAGCATCCTGGGGCTTCACAGTCACTCATCACTCACTTCCTGGCTCACCCAGAGCAACTTCCAGTCTTGCAAGCTTCATTCTTTGTAAGTGTCCAATATAGGTGTACCAATTTTTATCTTGTATACCATATGTTAATTGTATCTTTTCTATGTTTCTATGTTATATGTTTAGACACACAAATACTTATTAGTGTGTTACAATTGCCTCTAACATTCAGCATAGTAACATGCTGTACAAGATTGCAGCCTAGGAGCAATACCACAAATGGTATTGCCCACTACACACCTATGTTATATGATATATCCTAAACTATATAATATATGTGGTTTGTGTAGGTATACTCTGTGGTGTTCAGACAATCAGGAGATCACCTGATTGATCTGATCTGATCTGATTGATTTCTCAGAATATATCCCCATCATTAAGCAAAACATGACTATATGTATGTTAACATACTATATATTATATACATAATATATATTATTATATATTAATTGATATACACAATTATGTAGTGTATATTGCTAATAATAAGAGTATATGATATTTCTGAAAGAAATGAAGGAAGGTCTAGATAAGAATAAGTGGAGGTATATACCATATTCATGGATTAGAAGGCTCAATATTACAAAAGTATCTTCTTAATTCAGCAAACCCAATCAAAATCCCAATAGGATTTTTATAAAATTTGACAAATTGACTTCAAAACTCATAAAGATAAAAAAATATTGAAGATGGAGGAAATAAGTGAAGAACTTAATTTCTCAGGCACAGATATTTAGTTTTAAGATTAATAATTAAAACGTGATATTGGTGCAAGAATGAACAAATAAATGAATGAACAGAATTGACATGTTGATTTATTATTTAATTACAAATACCATAATGTAGAACATTAAATGTTTTTCAAAATAAATGTTATTGAGTTAATCATTTACCCAAAGAGAGGAAAAATGAATCTTAACTCATACCTCACATCATACACAAAATTTAATGCCAAGAGGATTGCTGACTTACATGTAAAAAATAAAAGGAATAAAGTTTCTGAAATATAAGAGGGTAATATTGTCACAATTTGACTAAGAAAAATATTTCTCAAGTGGAGCATAAAAAGCATAAAAAGAAAAAGATTATAAATTGAGATTGTAATGAAAATGAATTTATGTTGTATATTAAAAACTTATTGAAACAATAAGTGAGCAATCTATATATTTAGATAATATTTGCAATACAATTGCTTAAAATGTAAATACAAAAACAATCTCTACAATTCAGCAAAATGTCAATCTAACAGAAAAATAAAAACCAGACTTAAAAAGGTATTCTACAGCATAGCATATGTATTGGTATATTCTAAAGGATATACCAATGATCAGTAAGCATTTTAAAAGGTATTCAAATTCATTATTTATCAGGACAATGCAAATTAAACAAAAGATACCATTATACTTCCACAAGTTTTGCTAAAATTTTTAAGACATTTTCAAATGTTGGCACAAATGAAATGCAACCATATTTGCACTCTCATCCACCACTGAAGGAGAGTAAATCGATAAAATTATTTTAGAAAACTGCCAATTTCTCATATTTATGAACATACTCATATTACATTCTAAGAAATTATTACCCAAAGTGTGTACTGAACAGAAATGGATAACTGTATGCCTAAAAAATATGTATAAGAATAATTATAGTTGCATTTTCTGTCATTTCCCCAACTTAACAAGTACAATGTCAATTTAAAAATTGTGTGATATTTATATGACAGAATATTGTATGAGCTGCAACTATATGAAATCATTGGATAAATGTGGCAACTACATTGTGAAGAAATAAGACACAAAAGAATGTCATGTTTTAATTCTTGAATATTCAAAACCTTGCAAAACTAACTCAGAGTGTTCAAAGATGAGATAGGTATTATCTTTGCAGTAACTTGACATGGATGGTGATTACATGAGTATATTTATTTTGTATACTTTCTTCCTAGTATACATGCTAATTCTTAATAATAAAAAATATTACATTTAAAATAACATTTCTAACTATATGCTGTTTTTCCCAGAGAATGAAAACATCAGAAAAATGTATATATGAAGTTCATAGTAGCTTTATTATGGCCCAAACTAAAAGCAACCTAGATATTCTATAATGAGGGGATGTTAAACAAAGTGTTGTACATTTATACCATGAAATGGTATTTAGTAATAAATTGAATAATTCCTGACATACACAACAACTTGGATAAATGTCAAGGCAATTACACCAAGTGAAAAAAGCCAATCCCAAAAGGTTACGTACCGTATGAGTCCATTTATATAAGATTCTTGAAATGACAGAAAGTATAGAGATGAAGAAAAGATTAGTGATTGTAATTGCTATTGATGGGGTGAGGATCAGGCTGTTAGAGGGAGGCAAGAAGTCAAGAACTGAGGTTTTGGAACCTCTACCTAGATATCAAAATATGTATGGAAATGCCTGGATGTCCAGACAGAAGTTTGCTTCAGGGAGGGGGGCACTCATAGAGAACCTCTGCTAGGGCAGTGCAGAAGGGAAATGTAGAGTTGGAGCCCCTACACAGACGCCCTACTGGGGAACTACCTAGTGGAACTGTGAGTAGGGGGACACCATCCTCCAGACCCTAGAATGGTAGATCCACCAACAGCTTGCCCCATTCACCTGGAAAAGCTACAGACACTCAATGCCAGACCACGAAAGCAGCTGGAGTGGGGAGGTTGTACCCTGCAAAGTCACAACGGTGGAGCTGCCCAATAGCAAGGAAACCCAACTCTTGCATCAGCATGACCTGAATCTGAGACCTGGAGTCAACGTAGTTCATTTTGGAGGTGTAAATTTGACTCCCCCGCTGGATTTCATACTTGGGTGGGGCCTGTAGCCCCTTTGTTTTGGCTAATTTCTCCCATTTGGAATGGTTATATTTACCCAATGCCTGTACCCCCATTGTATCTAGGAAGTAACTAACTTGCTTTTGATTTTATAGGCTCATAGGTGGAAGGGACTTGTCTCAGATGAAATGTTGGACTGTGGACTTTTGAGTTAATGCAGAAATGAGTTAAGTTTTTGGGGGACTGTTGAGAGGCATGATTGGTTTTGAAATGTGAGGACAGGAAATTTGGGAGAAGCTTGGAGGGAATGATGTGGTTTGCTGTGCCCTTACCCAAATCTCAACTTGAATTGTATCTTCCAGTATTCCTACATGATGTAGAAGGGACCCAGGGGAAGGTAACTGAATCATGGGGGCCAGTCTTCCCTGTGCTATTCTCATTCTCATGATAGCGCATAAGTCTCACGAGATGGGTTTATCAGGGGTTTTTGTTTTCACTTCCTCCTCATTTCCTTTTGCTGCCACTATGTAGGAAGTGCCTTTTGCTTCCTGCCATGATTCTGAGGCCTCCCCGGCCGTGTGGAATTGTAAATCCAATTAAACCTCTTTTTGTTCCCAGTTTCAGGTGTGTCTTT